GACAAAAATAGAGAAGAGAGCCCACTACTCACTTCCATTGTTCCCGAACAGTGGAGGTCGGACATAACGATTTACTATCAGAACGTAGGCGCTATGAACGGCCTCATGGAAAATTATCATCTGGCCGTCGTGGATTACTGTTACGACATATTAGTTTTGACCGAAACATGGCTCAATTATCGAACCATTTCAAACTATGTATTTGGTGCTGGCTACGAAATATTTCACTGCGATCGAAACACGAATAATAGTAGGAAAACTACTGGGGGAGGCGTCCTTATCGCAGTTAATTCCAAGCACGGTTAAACAAGTGTGGGTGGCTATTCAACTTGGTGGTCGTTAATTGCTTCACTGTGCAGTGTACATCCCTCCAGATCGAACCTGCTACTTGGAGCTTATTGACGCACATTGTCGATCCGTCTTGGTCACTTCAGACAAAGCAGGCCCTTCCGACAAAGTTATTGCTCTTGGCGATTTTAACCTACCGGACATTGCATGGACTCCAACCCATTGTGGATTCTTCTGTCCTGATCAAGAGCGTTCATCTTTCCACGTAGGAGCCATCCAGCTCCTGGACAGTTGAGTGAAAACAACCGCATCTCTGCTTTGTGAGTGCTCGTGATACAGCTCCTTTCCTCTCCACGGCACCCGAACCTTTAGTCAAGGAAGTGCATCATCACCCTGCTTTAGTTATCGTGATCGAAAATAATCTAACCTAGATTGGGAGCATATTCTAGATCTTGTAAACGTCAACATTGCTGCACAAACCTTTTCTCACGTCTTGGCATATGTCTCGCGTCCCGTGGGATGACGATAGATCTTCGCTCGTTGAAAAGAACTAAGAAGGCTGCTCTCAGAAGATTTACTAAATTCCGCACACTGCCGCTGAAATGCTGCTATGTCAGACTCAACCACGAGTATAAGCAGTTAAGTCGTCTCTGTTTTCAACGCTATCAAAGGAGGATTCAACGGCGGCTGTAATCACACCCAAAATCCTTCTGGAACTTCGTAAATGAGAATGGTGAAACAGCTGGCAATCAACAAGACATTTGCAACCTATTCTCAGCCAAATTTGCTAGTGTCTTTGAAGACGAGCAACTCTCCGCTAATCTCATTACTTCCGCGGACAGTAATGTTCCTTTGGTCAACCAAACGCGTAGCGTTGTCGACGCCACTACAGATACGATTTCTAGAGCAGCATCTAAACTTAATACTTCAGCTAACGCTGGACCCGATGGTGTTCCGTCGATTATTCTGAAAAAGAACACCACTTGTCATTTAGATCCACTGCGCCGCATATTCCAGGTATCTCTTTCCAGCGGCATCTTTCCGTCTTGCGACTGCGGATATGTTTCCTGTTCATAAAAAAGGAAGTAAACGCGACGTTAACAATTACCAGCGAATCACGTCGCTGAGTGCTGTATCAAAACTTTTTGAATTGGTTGTCATAGAGTTCCTAAATGCGCATTGCAAGCAATATCTAAGTGTAGAACAACACGGATTCATTAATGGGCGTTCCACAACTACGAACATGCTGTGCCTAACGTCTTGCATCACAGACAGTTTGATTGCTCGGACCCAAACGGACGTTATTTACACAGATCTTACGGCAGCCTTCGATAAGCTGAACCACGAAATTGCGATCGCTAAGCTTGATAGGCTAGGGATCGGCGGAAATCTTTCAAGATGGTTTCGTTCATACCTCACGGTGCGCCAAATGACAGTAACTTTGGGTACTTATCGCTCAGCAAGCTACTGCGCAAAGTCCGGTATACATCAGGTCAGCCATCTGGGACCATTGGTATTTCTCCTTTACTTCGACGACGTTCACCATGTTATCACAGGGGCCAGATTATCGTTTGTAGACGATCTGAAAGTTTTTCTGCGCATTCGCTCACTCGCCGACTGCCGTTCTCTCCAAAATTAGGTTGACATCAAATATATCATATTAACAATATGATCCATTCATGCTTTTTCCAAATGTTGCAATGGCGACCCGCAAAATATTGCTTCACGCACCATCTAGCGTTGAAAAAGGTCAGCAACAATCATTCAATTACAATCGAGGGGTGCGAATATAGCACTTATTACAAAAGTAAAAGTCAAATTATTTTCATTAATTACATTGTGTATATTGCTTAAAAATTTATCTGAAATTCAAATAAAATTAAATGCTGAAATACATTCATGTGAAATATTAAACAAATTTTCATTTGGTTTACCCCTCGTGACGATAAACAAATACATTGGTAGCCTTTTTGACCACAGAGGTGCTTTCATCGCTAAAAATTCGGTTCACCAGCTAAGCGAAAGAGTGGATCATATTGTAAATATAATACATTTGTTGACATCTTTGTTGACTGGTGTAGTCTAAACCGACTGGTGGTCAACCCAGCTAAGTGTATAATCATTACTTTCTCACGCAAGAAACAACCGATTATTTTCAACTACAAACTACTAGGCACGACTTAGGCGTTATTTTCCGGACTCAAAGCTGACATACAGGGTTACTTCCACTCACTTGCTATAAAAAAATGTTTTTCGGAATTGTGAAATCATGAAATAGTATAATGCTAATTAGTACTTGTAAGTTACAAGAAGAGGTCATGAAGTATATGTTTGACACATAAAATCTGTCAATATTGCATTCAGTGTGTCACAATCAGCGATTTTACGACTCGTGAGCGCTTACTCAGAGTGAACGCTCACGAATCATAAGATCGCTGATTGGGACGTTCTGAAAGCGTAATTGACAGGTTTTATGAGTCAAACACATACTTTACACCCTCTTCTTGTTACTTACTAGTACAACATATCATTATAACATCTAATGATTGCATAATTCCGAAAAATATTTTTTTATAGTAGGTGAGTGGAAGCAACACTGCTGACATCCTCACACCATATATCGTATGTCGTCGACAAAGCGTCCAGAACTTTTGGCTTTGTCTTCAATATTACTAAGAACTTCACAGACATTTACTGCTTGAAATCGCTCTATTGCTCTCTCGTATGATCTACGTTGGAATACTGCCAATTGATCAATGTCGAGCCCTTACGTATCCGAAGAGATGTTTTCAGAGCCTTAACCGTCACCGATACTCTGCAAGGAAGAATCGACTGCGAAGCAATTCTGCAACAAGTGAACATAAATGTTCAACCTTAACCAGAATATGCTTCGCCGAAGATTCTCTGCCTTTTTTTTTTTTTGCTGACCGAAGGAGCTTGACGCCCAACAGCTAAGTGTACAATTTTAGACAATGCTTTCCTTGTTATTTTCGTTTGTAACTGTAAGTAGTCTGTATAATCTGAACTTTTTTTTACAACACATCATTGGGACTATTTCTAGTCTGTTGATGGAAACATAACAAATAAACAAATCTATGTCTATCTCTATCTCTATCTAGACCACTATCATGCATGCATCATGCATCAAGAAGCTCTGCTAATATCATCGGATATTGATCGGACGGTGACTCTCATCAATTTCTTATAACAGATCATGACTGTATTGTGAAAATTGCAATTACGAGTCCATTTATTGATATTAGTGTTGCGTGTACTGCGGAAATCCTAAAATTATATTCACTTTATCGATTACATACTGTTCCTTGATATAACTCATGTCAATCTGGTAGAAATCTTAACTTTTAATACGAAAGCTCATGATCTGAGTGGTGCGGAGTCGATCACTTTTGAAATAAGTTCAAGTTATTTTGCTTGAAAAATATTAATTTTATTGCCTTTGTTTACATCCTCTCAACACCGCTCACAAATTGGCGCCTTTTTCAGAACAAAAATTGAGAAATCGTTCATGAATTTCTCATTGTTTGATTACAATTGCTTGATAGAGCCAATATTTTGCTTTAAAATGATTATCAAGTAAAAAACTGATCAATATCAAGTCAAACGGTCGAAAATGCTTTTACTGGTTTCCCTCAGACTCGTTTATTTTGATGTTTAAGTTTCCTTTGCATTGGTATGAATAAATTTGGACAGTCTTTAAAGATACACTTGATTTATTACTTTACAATTTAATTTAAGGATAAAATATTAAATGTTGATCCTAATGCTTTATCTTTCGAACGAATCTGTTTAAGGGACGTAAGCCTTGGTGTTGGCCCTGCTCGTTGGATTTTTGTTTTACAACGAGTGACTCCGCACCACGTAGCTCATGATAGGTAGTGTCCAGTTCCAACCTGGATCGTGTATCAAGATTGGGTCTGCTTGTTTTCTGACAAACGTCAGTTTGCTCGTTTGTTTTTAAAACCTAGCTCAGGTTGAGGTTCACACTGACAAAAAGTTCGGTTTCGCACTGGGTTGGAACTGGTGTTAACTCCGATAATAAACGAATTCGCTATAAGATAAGATCCGACAACTAGCTTATGTCTAATGTTCTTTTTTATGATTGCTGTTGAAAGTCATAACAAACTGAGTGATTTGGCCTAAAGAGCCTAAATTTATAAAGAGGCGACATGTCAAAATTGGAACAATCGATAGTCTGTCAAAGTCATAGGAAAAGTCATTCCAATCGAGCAGAAGACCTGTCAAATGGATAAGATGTTGTCTCTTTATAAATTCAGGCTCTTTAATTTGACCCACTCGTAAAAGTTAAAATCAACAAATCAACGACTGGATCACAACCCTAATAAACAAATGCCATAAACGAACGATAACCCAAATGATAGAACTATTCTACAAATGGTTTGGTGTACACCCCGAACACGTCGTTAAGCACATTTTAAAGGTTACTTTCTATTAGTGTCTTACGTAATAGGGCTTGTTTTGTCACACTCACATAACGAGTATAATATTTGCCAACACTGGATCAAAATGGTGTACCTACTTCTTTAATGGTTAGTATTCAAGTATCTTTTTTTAAATGCTGCCAGTGTCTAAACTCAAACTTCTTCATATCAGTTAAAAACTCAACACCGCTTCCCCTGTGCCTTTCTACTATACTGTCTAGATGGACATTAGTTTTAAAACGAGTCGCTTACCATGCTTCATCTTCAATGACCTGATCGAATCGACTACCGTTCTTGGTCACGTAGACTTTGCAATTGTCCGTATCATATTCATCGCTCTGCTGCTGCTGATAGGGGCCGTTTCCCTCCTTACTCAAATTCCTTGGCCTGCTGGTGGCCCATGACGATTTACGATTATCAGGCGCATCCGCTTTATCACCTGCAATTACTTTGCCGTTTTCGAATTTTACGTTCCCTATTTGATATCCTGCTGGGATGATGTTTATGTCACCGTAGGGGGATTTTTCTTGAACCTGCTCGGGAATGGTCTGCTTCTGAGCAGCCGCTCGTTGCTTTTTGCGCATCTCCAGTTTGGCGAGGAATGATACGGTTGATTTAGGCTTTTCCAGGGAATCTTCGTGCTTTGCATTGTGACCTGAAGAGGTACCATTGGCCCTGTCGTCTGACTTCGGGATGGCTACTTTTAGCGTTTCGTTCGGGGTTCGACTTTTGGGACGACTATTTTGCTTCCACAGTTCCAACTCGTAGTTTATTTTCATTCCCGATTTATTCATCGGAGACATCAGTGGATATTGCTCCTCTCCTGAATGTGAACCTTCCGAGATCGGTTCCGGCACTGGTTTGCGAGTAAGCATAGGAATGTTATTCGGTTTCACCATGCTAGCGCTTTCGTTAAAGTCGTAATCTTCTTCAACACCATTGTAGTCATGGTCTCGCACACTTTCAGGTATTCCATTAGATACCTTCAGACCGTTTTGTTCAAATTGGGATGATGGTTTTACTGGCCTCATACTAACTGACTTCAATTCATTGACTCTAGATATGGTCTCCTTTTCATCACTGGTAAGGCAACGGCTGACACTCATTGTCTGGATTTCCAAAAGTCCTGTAGAAATAGCAAGAATTAGCAAAAAAATACAGAAACTTCAACGACAGTACTCACTAGTAATAAAATCGCTTGGTTCAACTTCAAAGCCCTTACGAATCTCCTTCAATAAATTAGCAGCATTGAATGCATTGTTTTTGTTAGTAACGAGCTCCAGATCACCAAAATTGACCACGATATTATGCACTGAATGTCTGGTCACTTTCCGAAACTGCACTGATGTCGAATTGCGGAGAACGGATTGCAAAACATTCGCAGCATTAGGATCCCAACGAGAGCATATCTTCGGGACTAACCTGTCCGACTGGTTATCGTAGACCTGCAAAAGAGACCATATCAAATCGATTTGTTTTTTAAGATGCCATCCGAGGACTATATTGAGATATTACTCCGACATTTTACACATTTATTTATTTATTTTATAATGCCCTTCATCGGACTTTTGTTGTCTTAATGAAGACTGATGGGGAAAAGCCTATTTGCCAAATATTTAAAAGTACAATTGGCAATACTTTTAATGATTTAAGGTACACCGGGGCAAGTTGAAACGCGCAGGGAAGTTGAAATGGAAGGCGTACCTCTGTGATTATGTTTAATTCAGTAGTTTACGCAAGCCACAAAACACCGTGAATATTCATACCAAAGCGAAAATGTAATTTTAATCTTTCAGCACTCAAAGTACTACAAAGTACAGCACGAAAAAAATTAAAACCCTACGGCTTTGGAGATTGTTTAACGTGAAACTCATCATCTTTCATGAAATTTAATACCCATGTCCAATAGACCAACAGTTGATGAATATTATGGAAAAAATCAGGTTTCATGAAGTGCCCTCAAGATGAAAATAATATACTTTTGTATTTTCTACCACACGCTAGTGCTCGTGTTACAGAAGTTGGTACGAGTACTGAAAGGTTAAACTGGTCGAATGGTGTGGTGGATCAAATGTCCGAAATAACAATCAAATCATCATTCAGTATCGTGCTCTCTTGCCCTGCGGATCTATTTGCTTTTTGCTGAAGGAACACAAAAGATCGATTCTTCTGGTTCGATTAATCGATTTTTTGAATCGATCTCAAACACGACAAAAATCGACTGGATCGACCCTTTTCATTCGATTTTAGTTTCGATCCAAAAAAAATTTGTCTCGGACAGCGAATCCATACACATAAAGCAACCAACGATACAGACAAAACGGTTGCTACGACTACCATGACAAACTCGCTCTGTAACAAAGCTCGATCCGAGTGGTAGAAGGATAATGATATATTGCTTGCCTGCTTTGTTGCAATATACACGGATGAGGACATAGCTTGATATGAATCGGGAAAAGACATAACAAAAAAATTCCCATTAACGCACGTGTATCATCTTCGGCTTTACTTCGTGAAGCAGCTTGCCAACAATTTGCTCGTTTCCTTCTACCGCCCTGAATGAGTTGTGTCGCACGGGCTGCTTGTCATGAAAAAGAACGGTGAAGATTATATCATTATTGCTTTCCACTTCTGACATAGCGTTATTATTCGGTTCGTTGATCGCTTGTTATTTTGTCATTTGGAGATATTTTTGATTCCTTGGTCTAGGATGAGTTTTGGGATATCTGAATTAAGTACTTTCCGCACTAATCGTTTTGTTTCATATGTGAATCGTTCATTTGATACCAGTAAAACGAATATTATAACCTGATAAACTGCCGCTATTCGCATAACAGTCCCATGTCCTATGGATGTCCTATCTACATAGGACTCTTATGCGAATAGCGGCAGTAAATCACTCACCTAATCAGGTATCCTGAGCAAAAACTTCCACATGTCAAATGAAATCAACATAATCATTTACTATATTCTCATAATGTATGTATGTTACACTTACAACTTTTACTGCGTACATACCACACAAATTATTTCTAAATGATATCAATCATCACACAAAATTACTATTATAAGTGAAATGTCATAACAAGATAGCTTATGTAACGTAATATTAACTTTAGACTGAACTTGGCGTTAATCGGCACCAACTTTCCTATGATCCATTATATTTGAAACATTTTGTGCCATTTTGAAAAATGAATCGATTCAAAAGATCGATTCAAAATGATTGAGTAAATCGGTGAATCGATAATTTAAAAAAATCGATTATTGCCTCAAGATCGCCCCAATGCTAGTTACAGCAACCTAAAACGCTGGCCAGACTGAGCAGTTATAACATGTTATAACGGTTGTCAAATAATTGCAACACAGAAACCACCATCAAGATAGCGCTATAACATGTTATAACTCTGTAGCAGTGTTCGGAAAAACTCAAAAACTCAAATCTCATGCATGAATTTATGCGCCTATGAGTTTTGCCTGCCAAAATTTAACGTCGAAAAATCACCACTTAATTTTTCAGGTTGAAAAATTCATTTCTTTATAGGTCGGCGCCATTATTTGTTATTACGCTTGTTTGTGCAGCAGGGGTTGGAAAACTAATATAACATGCATAAACATGCTATCAATTGAGGTTTGAGTGGTTTTTATGAGGCGTTGTGAGTGTGAGTACGTGAATTTGCATGAAAATCTCAAGCATGAATTTTGCTTGCCACATTCGCACGCGAGTTTATTCTCGCAGGGAGACTCAATGAATGAGATTTTAGAGTGATTTTCCGAACACTGCTCTGTAGTCTGAACGTACTATAAAGCTACAAAAAATATTTAACACCACTTTTCAGTGCTAAATATCACCTGCACATTTCTACCTTTTCGATTCTTATTCCTCTGCTATCCTTGTTTAGACCCTACCCGAGGTAATCCTGCTTGGACATCGATTTGGAAAATTCCTCTTCGATCCTTCGGATTCTTATAGTAACTTGCTTGGAAGACGATTTGGAGAAACGTTTTATTGCCGCCATGGCACCTAAATGCAAAAGAAAAGGGCAATCTCTTGATCCCTCTTCTTTTTTTTTTGTTAGCCATCAATCTAGGGGCACGCAATAACCTTTAACTCCGATGCAGGCAACGGCTGTAATTAAATTGATTCCTTAACTATTGCTTTAATTACATTAATTACACAGTGTAGAAGACACACTACTTTTTAAGACCATTAATTATAGTCGAAATTTCACAATTAAAGTACATTAATTTAATTTTCAATACTTTTAATTACATTAAGTACGGTTATTTAAGTTCTTTTGATTGAATTTTAACTTCAACGCAGCGGTTCTTTGTATTGCGTGCCCGTCGCAAATCAATTTGATATGCTCACGGAGGATGAGGATTCCATCATCCAGCCAAAATTCCATTAAACAATCCCAGCCTAATGCCAAGAAGGAAAAGATCCCCCTATTGTGATAACCACTTCTGATTTCCATGTTCTTCACACGGAACTTTTGAATTTCGTTAAATTTAAGTTTTCACTTCAAACTGACCGTCGCGAGGTCAATGCCGTGTATTGGTTGAAACATTGGACGGATTCAAACGTCTTCTTAACTATCTTACTGAGAAGCAACACAAATTTTTCACTTACGACACCAAAACTGAATGTCTGTTCAAGGTTGTCTTGAAAGGTCTGCCCAGTGGTGAATCCTTGGATCAGATCAAAGATGAATAGACAAAATTGATTGGAGTTGAGTCCAAGTAATTAAAATGAAAATGAAATCCTGTCCTGGCGATACGCGCAACGGAATTTTTTAATGATTTTTTTGTATACAGGGTGTTTGGTTCCGGGTTTTACATATTTTTAGGGTAGATAGGGCTCCTAAAGTTATGAAAAAATCTCCATGAAACATAGGGTCGGAAATGACTGCTAAGTGAGTTATTCAACATTTTATGTTTTTTAGTATTGCCAACTTTGGTTAGCTATATTTTTTTAATCTTAATGTGATTTTCTGATTTCAACATACCAAATGAAAGATTAAATTCTTAGCTATCAATGCTCTTTGAAAAAGAACTCGAATTAAGTTAATTATCATACATTAAAATTGAAAAGTATGTTGAAAGTACTAAAAAAACTGGTGAAATTTCATACATTTCCGGAGTGATTTGAGATTTGGGCGTAATTGCATTTGTAAACAAACACGTCAATCGTCGATTTCTCGCGAATAAAATCTCAATTTCGAAAACTAACAACACTATGAGGTAGAGAAATGATTCCTCTATCATTTGGTATAGTTAGTTTACGAGATTGAGTTTTTATTGACGAGAAATCGGCGATTGACGTGTTTGTTTACAAAAGCAATTACGACCAAATCTCAAATCACTCTGGATTTTAGAGATTTTAAGTTGAAAATTTTCATTTCTGTTTAATAAGTTGTTCTACAAAACATTTTCCATGCAGTTCCCTAGATTTGTGCCTTTGGTAGTAACTTTGTAGGCTTTATGGTTTCTTCGTAATTATTGATTTAAAACAGCCATAAAAACTTGTGACGTTTTCATAAAATGCGCTATAGTCACCCTATTCGTTCGTACGTTCGGCTGTTGCAGTGGACTACGCACATGAAAATTTGGTAGAATGTTATTGTAAATGTTTAGCTACATTCTTAACTTTTGATTACCGCACATCTCCTGCGCCGAAATGTTTCGCGGTATCGAACATTGCTCAGTCTCAGCAGAAAACACAACGAGAGACACCGAATCGGCGAATTCTGAGAGCGGAAGGGAGAGAAATAGGTAATGGTAATAAGTCGATGTCCTTTATATTTCATAGCACTCGCAGCTCAGCTGCGGTGCTGATTCGAAGGAGGAGTATGCAACTCCGCTGCTTCTGTATACACACTTAGATTTTTTACAGGAGTTAGTATTTTTACTGGATTTTTGAATAACTGACTCGGTTAAAATTGAAATGACTGTTATTCGTAAAGATTGGATAAAATCGAAAAATTTTATTTTTCATCATTACACGGAGTTTACAGAAGTTAGTCTGTAAATTTTCGAAACACATTTTCTCAACTTTGAATTTTTCACAGATTTTTTAAATTTTACCGAAGAGTTCCGCAATTCAAAAACTCGGTAAAAATTACTGACTCGATAAGTGTGTACCGATGTATGGTTGGTGAAGAAACTAGCATCTGGAGGGTATTCTCGGGCTAGTGAATGCCACCCATCCCACTTATAATTCAGTAATACACTATTTATTCATTTATGTTTGATATGTTTACAAAGTTTGCAAACAGAAATGAGCATTGCAGTGTAGTTACCAATTTTCCAAGTCATAGACTTCAGATAACTGTTCAAAGTCCCAGTTTTTTTATAACGGAATCATGAACAAAAAACCAAAGACCACTAGGTATGACAAACGCGATCGGTCTGAATGGATCTTTACATAGAAATTGTTATACGATCAAGAACCTTGGGCTCTTGTTCCACTTCGCTTTTTCCAGCAGGCCATTATCTGCTACCGGAAAACATAGAATAACAAAACTGTGATGACAATTTAGTGCCTCAAGTCACAATAGTGCCCGAGATTTACTCCCTAGAAAACTCGACGTGGCAGTGAAAGTGCCTATGATTTGTGGACGCAAATCGGCCTAGCTTTGGTTTGAAATTTTTCAATCATTGGCCCTTCTACGTCACTCTTATCAATGAAATGAAATAAATGAATGGTTGGCCGTTTCAGCGTGCGGGCCTATTAATGAATCGAAAAATTTCGTTGATCAGCCGTTTCGAAAATCGAGTTATTTTTAATGATTTTTCTCGATTATGCGGAACTTTCCTACACGATTTGTAGCTATCAAGCGGTGCTAAAGAATAGTATCAAAACCCGATTTGTTTACGTTTTGGACATTGGCCCATTTCAAATGTTACTCTAGAAATTGCTGCAGGCAAGCTATGATTATCCGACTTTGGCTGGAACTCACGGTCCGCTAGTGTTGATGAATTTGCCGTTAATGTTCATGAAAAGTTCACTATTTTGCCATAAACGGTGCCAAAAAAAATACGGGCGGATTTGGACCTGTTTCATAGGGCCATCTGGTCACAAATGCCTTGCCAAATTGATTTCCTACGCAAGTGATCAATCTTTTAGTGAATTTCGAGGATTGATAATAGCAAAACTTGCCATTTACAAGATACTTGTGGTATCTTTTGTCGTTTTCGTTTTTGCTATACTACACCGGTGTAGTGTAAGCAGCAATAAGCGCGAGTCATCATTTCAGTGCCAACATTTCAAAAGGGCGTAATTGCATCTGTAAACAATGGCTTTAGCCGTCGATTTCTCGCTAATAAAAGCTCACTCATGAAAATTAATTGGACCATCAGGTAGAGGAATGTTCCCCCCTATTCTGCGAGTCACGTGACTCTCTCTCACCGGTGAGGTGACAATAGTCACCTCGTGTGAGGTGACTCTCCATTTGATTTGCATGGAGAGTCACCTCACACGAGGTGACAATTGTCACCTTACCGGTGACAGAGAGTCACGTGACTCGCAGAATAAGGGGGGTTGTCTCTACCAGCTAACATTGTTAATTTGGAGAAGTGAGCTTTTATTTGCGAGAAATCGACGGCTAAAGCCATTGTTTACAAAAGCATTTACGCCACTTTGAATTGTTGGCACTGATTTGTTTGTAAACAAAGGTGCAACCGATAGCTACCCCCTGATTTTTTCCGAGTTCGGTGGTGTAGCCGCGCCGGTATATCAAATCTACTGAATGTTACAATACTTACATATTCAGATGGTAGTATATTCTTTATCGCACCACGTCTGACTTTACTCGTTTGCCGTGCAAATTTCTCCGGTAAAGGATTGACGTAACGGGAGAATGACTGGATCGGTACTCCATCATCAATCGACCACAAATTGTAACGTTTTTTACCGCTACTGTCTTCGATAACTTCATCCACTATGCACCGGCACCACTTGTTCCGGTCAAAGTCCAACACAGCAACGGTCTGAAAAAGGTAAATACCGAGTCAGTACATATTATGTCCTAGTTATTAAAAAATGGCGTCAAGCTGGATGTTGACTTTTCGAATTCTAACCTCTCCCGGGAAGGATTCGCACACTTCATCGGCGCTGGATTGACGAAAGTTTTCCTCACAGTATTCGTCTATCGCAAGCTGGAACCGTTTCTCGTCCAGATTGTGGACGTATGCCGAAACCGGTTTGTACCAGAACATATGAGGATTGATAAAGTGCGTGATCCTAATGGTGTCGTCTTCCATGACTGAATGCTCTAAACAACGAGATTATTACGATAATTATTTTTATATTGATCAGCAAACTTTATACTTACAATACACAGTTTAAAAATAAGATTGAAGAATGGAAATTTCAATGTAATTTTCACAAAATATGAGTCGTCAGGAAATTCTCGTGTGCCTGTTTCAGTTTTGCTGTTGTATCGTGCTTCGTGCACATTTATTGTTTGGCGTTCTCCTCAAATATGAAGCATAAACGGCAGGAAAAGGAAAAATCAGTGTTGTGTGGAAAAAAGCATATCAAAAACATTCTATCTCGCTTTATCTCATGTAACTCCAACAACAATATCAGCAACTTTCGGGTTCCGAACGGTAGTGCGAGCAGTACATAAATAAATACAAAATTATTTCGTAAAACCCGTAAAACACAACAGGTCTCCGCGATTGATATAATAAGGTAGGAACTATCAGATACGAAATTCATCTGTACTAAAATCTCAAGATGAATAGACGAGTGCACGGATGGATTTGAGTTTCACTCACTCGACAAAAAGTGACACAACAGTGGGGCACTGTTTACTAAAAATGAACACATATGTGTTCATTATTAGTAAACAGGGCCCCGCTGTTGTGTCACTTTTTGTCGAGTGAGTGAACTCAAATCCATTCGTGCACTCCTCTATAGAAACGCTCTCTCAACTTCAACTTGAAAATGGGTAAAATATACACTTTTATTGATATTTGCCTCAGAGGTGCGAAGTCACTTGAAACCCATCAAAAAAGTTCATCTGCTGCTATAAAAAAAACCAATAATCAGTACCAACACCAAGGATTAGGATCAACACTCACAATTTTATCCCTAAATTAAATTGTAAAGTAATGAAACAAGTGTACACGGATAGAAATCTCCTTATACCTTTTGGCAAATTTCTATTGCTTACACACTTAGAAAAAATCATAGACTTCGGTAATTCATTTACCGAATTCTCAACAGCTGAACGGTCGGTAATGTGTTCGGTAATCGAGAACATTACCGAAAAATCTGTAAACTGGATTAGTAAAATTAGCTGTCAAATTTACCGAACGATCGGTAACGTTTACCGATGTGCATTGCTTGATTTGTAGTCGACTTTACCGGAGAACTGTAATTTTGAGGACGATATGTAAATCGAAAATTACCGAGAGATCTGTAATTTTTTTGAAAGGTCACCGACTCAACTGTAATTTGCTTTAATATTGTTTCAAGGTGGCGGTCACTGCAACCCATGCAAAAATTTGGCTGCAGTCGTGATCAATAAGTTAGTGTGCATATTGCACCACCAATGAAAAAAACCGTTGGCAACGATCTGAAAAGCTAAGTTTTTGTCGGAAAGATTCGGTGCTACACTGAAACCAAGGAAGAAGATTCCAAATGCTGTTTTCAGATCGTCGCCAACGGGAATGGAACTTGGACCGACAGAAAAAAAACAAGCAAACATCGGCCATCTGTAATCGGTATTTATTTAGATAACGAAAATAAATTATTTACGGAAAATATCTACGATTCGCTCATCTTGGTGTTGCATAACAACCTCCATAATTTCACCTTTTTATATTTTTCACAAGCACGAACGCTTTTAATGTCGATCGAAAATAACAATATGGTGGATTTGACGTTTACCTAGACCGTTACCAAACCAGTAATGGAAGGCTTTGTTTACCGAAACTTCAGTAAAATAGTTCACCGAAGTCAGTGATGAAGCTGATTTACAGACCTGCCGGTAAAAATGTTTAACGTTTTCGGTAAATTAAAATAAAATTACCGAAATTCGGTAATTTCATTTACAGTTTTCAGCAATAAACCGAGAAAATACCGAAACATCTGTAATTTTTAGCATTACCGATCTAAAACGGTAATTTTTTTTTACCAAACTCAGGGTCTCTGTTTAAGTGTGTATTATTCATAAAATGTATAAGTCAACTAATAAGCAGACGTCTTGCAAAAAGTTAATGAAGCTCATATGTCAAATGAAATCTATAAGCCAGGCCAGTGACAAGGCCTATACTACTGTCTTACCTGACTCATAACGAATATACGTTTTAATGGTATAGAACGTATACTATACTTCTTTATTCGTTTACTACGTATATACACTTTATTCGAAGAAAAACCAGCTGAAGTGAATTTTTAGTCGGGTATTTGACAGCTGCAATCGGTGCGAAGAAATACAAAAAAACCGCGAAATCTTCGAAGTGAGATGAAGTAAAAAGTTCACGATTGGTCCTTAGCAGCTTCAAAAATTCAACTTAAACAAAAATATTTGTGGTAATTGGCGTTGACGGCGACTCTGTAGCTCTTTACTCCTATGAGAAAATCCATAAGCAAACGTCAGACTAGTCCGTGAAACATGGCGGACTTTGTACTATCCTTTCACTCCACCGAAAATTCCCATAAGAAACTGTCTAAATTTGCTGGTGCCGTCAACGCCAATACAGGTAACATAATGAAGGTAATGAAAAAGGGGTTGAAGATTATTTTTCAGTTTGATCGTCCAATAAAGCACCATTATAAAAAAATACTTTTTTTCAATTTGCATTAATCTGAAAAGAAAATCACACTCCAAAATGGTCATTTTGAATAAAACGTATATGCTTTCTTTGAATAAAACGTATATACGTTCTATTCGAGAGTAAATATATACGTACTATTCAGGGGTATATGAACTATGCGAGGTAAAACAAATCATTTTCAATTTTTTTCGATTTGGTGCTCCCGCGGATACAACGTATATTCGTTATAAGTCAGGTAAGACAGTAACAGCAGCGTTTGACAGTAGGCAGCATGTCCCGGGCTCAAATAATTTATTTTGCTGTGCTGGGACCGCTGTCACTGTATGACATGTTGCCTACGCGCCTGCCACTGGGCTGGTATAAGCGGTCACACATACCTTTTATGCAGCCTTTAAGGACATATGTGGTTTGTCTTATGGAATATATAAGGCTGATGTTTTGGCAAAAATGTATAAGTGAAACACATGAATAAAATTATTGATTTTCGTTTCGTGCATTTTAAATGCCGCCAACATTTACCCCCCCCCCCCCCTTTCTCCTCCCCCATCGATTTATTCATACTAATGAAAAAGAACGATTAATTCATTGCAATTCACTAATCACTAACAATTGTAAACATCCTCAACAAAGAAAACTTAAACATCAAAATGAACGGGCCTGAGAAAAAGCAGCAAAAGCATATTATTGGTGTTGAGTACTTGGCACTGATGAAGTCTGCAAAGAAGATCTGACGCGTATCTGTCAAAAGATAAGCAATTATAACGGAATAAAAAGAAAAAAAATCAATACATTCAAAAACCTCTTCATAAAGAGATTCTGCTCGGGATTCTGTTAATATTTTCGACAAAATTAAAAGATTTAAATTATAATATTTTTTTCGAGAATACCTGTCATCAGCAAAAATTTTGAACAATGATGTTGATGACACATCATACTTCGAACTTGAACATCCTCATTCAGCGCATGCTGATCGTCCCATCTTTATAATTTTGCCTCGATTTCTCGTGCTATGTTGTGTTTGCTTTGCTTCTGATTTGTCATGTCATGTCGACAGATCGTGTGTCATTTGGCGTCACGTAAGTTAATAGTGTAGTGGCGGAGGCACTGGAGGTGTTCGCCAGAAAAACGTAAATGTGGATCATATTGTCATTGGGATATTTCGTGTGGGTGTGGGTGACGAATGCTACCATGTGATATATTGGCATGCAATTTAGTGTAGTACTAGAATTTCAACAAGAATGGGGTACGTTAATCGATTTGCTTGGGACCAATAGAGCTTTTTGACGTTTAATCGGCGCACACTACTGTACCATTTAACTCGAACGAGTGCGAGCAAGAGGAAAACAGATTAGTGGGAAAACAAACCGTTCATTCATCCATGTGCGCTAGATAGAGAAAGACGATTAAACGTCAAAAAGGTCTATAGGCTAGTCAAGTAGGGGATCGACCATTAATTATGTCATACGTTTAGGGGGAGGGGGGTTTAGGAAACTGTGACTAGCCATAAAAAAGAATTAAGGTCCATACAAAAATTTGACAGAGGGAGGAAGGGGGTCGAAATGGGCCAAATTTTTGTGACATAATTAATGAACCTTCCCAAGCGAGCCAATTTAAAATCGTTAGTTTCCATCGGTTGGTTTTACGATCCGCAATTACAAAAATGATTATGTATTAAAAAAAATCATGCAATTTGACAGATATAAAAACGTCATTACTAGAGTCGGTGTATAATGAGTCACGCCAAGAGTGAAGCCAAGTCTACCTATTGAACTGTCAAACCGGCTACCTATCGTGCAAAGTAAACAAGCATTACGATGCTATGAAAGGTCCACGAAAGGTATTGCAATTATATATTAAATATAACCGAAGAAATGATCATATACACGCAGTGAGCATTACATTTGTCATGCGATACGTTTTGTTATGATCAGTAATGACAATTTCTACTATTTTTCCTTAAGATATTTCCACAAAATCACTGATATAATGATATACTACAGCCGTTCTTTTTTTCCTCGCTAGAAGTCATTTGAAGTTGATGCAGAAGTCCTCTGTTGCCAAGTTAAAAGAAAGGGAATCTTTCGAAAACCGTGATGCGAGTTCAACTGTTTTTCTCTTGGCGTGACTCATTATACACCGACTCTAGTCATTACCATTTTCACCCACTCGCCATCTGCACACTTAGATTTTTTTTGCCGAGATTAGTATCACCAAGCAGGCTGGGCTTTTATTTTTACTGAGATCTCAGCGAGGGGCACGCAATACAAAGAACCGGTGCGTTGAAGTTAAAATGCAATCAAAAGTACTTAAAGTAATTAATGCATTTTGAAGTAGTACTGATGGTAAATAAAATTATCTATCCGTTATTAATGTAATTAAAAGTATTGAAAATGTAATTAAAGTACTTTTATTACGACTTTTATTATCAACTGCAATTAATGGAGTTAAAAAGAAGTTAATGTTCAACATTGTGTAATTAATGTAATTAAAGCAGAAGTAAATGTAATTAATTTAATTACAGCCGTTGCCTGCGTTGAAGTTAAAGATTATTGCGTGACCCTAGAATTTTGTTTGATAGCCGAGATCTCGGAAAAATTTCCGTTTGTTAACTGAATCTCGGCAAATTTTTCACTGAGATCCAGCAAAATAGATTGCCGAGCTGCTGGTACCCATCTCGGCAAAAAAATCTGTGTTGAGTCAATCGTCACTTTGATTCTTCAACAATGGCATGCAATTTTTTGCGTTACATAATATTTGAATGGGCCCTTACGAGAATGAAACAGGCACCATTGGCCCTTTGAATTTACTCACGGCTTTTAGTACAGGATCTTCTTTGTTATTTTTTGACGTTTTGCGTGTGCTGACATTTTGTTTCCAATCCCATCAGGAGAAAAACTAATGTGCGTTCGTCGTCGTTCCCGTAGCACTTATTTTTCGATTCATATTGTGCATGGACACATATTTGCCAACTAAATTTGTGTAGCCTAAACCATTTGTATTCATTGCAATCAGTGCTTGTCTGTAGTGCCGGAAGGAAACTGTGATCAAAGTTTCGTAGCAATGCCAAGAGGTGAGTCCCAATGATGGGTTTACGTGCTATTTTCGGAGACAGTTCGTCGTATATGATAGAGATGATATTGTCTCTTTGTTGTAGGAAAATACGTTAACCACAAGGGAAGGAATCGTCACTTCACCAGTCCCGAAGAGCTCGAAGCCGAACGGGCAAATGAGGCAAAGAAAAAGTATGCTTACGGAATAAGCGTCATAAAGGTAAACAGTTAATAAGTTGGGCTTATTTTTTTTAGGTGGAGAAATACCCAGGAGAAGTCTTCCGGGGACGAAGAAGATGAGGAGGAGGGAAGTGCGGAGGGTAGTGACGATTCTGAGGAGGAATCCGAAGAAGAGGCAAAGGGAGCTGGAGCATTAATAGATATACAGAATCCGAATCGCCAGACAAAAAAAGCTTTCGTAAAGGCTACAGAGGTGGAGGAAACTGACGCACCCCAGCTTTCTCGCCGGGAACGGGAGCAAATAGAAAAGCAGAAAGCACAAGCTGCCTACATGAAACGGCATGCTGAAGGTAAAACTTCACAAGCCAAGGCAGATCTGGCGCGCTTGGCCATTATTAAACAACACCGGGCAGAAGCGGCCGCTCGTCGTGAAGCTGAGAAAAAGTGTAAGAGGTACAAAGTTTGATGGTAATGTTTGATTTGCTAATTTTTATGTATATTTCACAGCGAAAGACAGCAAGTAAGCTACAAAATTGGACCCGTAGTGTAAAATTCGAAAGACGTGTAGCTGGAAACTAGAATAGACTATATAATGAATTTCTGATGCGATTGAAAATATCACATACATTTCAATTTCCCATTAAAAGGCTAAAAATTTAATTCGCATGCATTGGTAAATGCAATTAATTGAAATAACTACGGCAACCGATTTTTGCAGGATGTTCAAAAATATATTAGAAAACGGAACAAAGAGAACCCCAGTTGGCAACAGAAACATTATATAGGAAATTATAAAATAATATTTGTTATAGGGCACTCAGCCAGCACTGATTCGGATGAGCAAAACTGGTAACTATAAATTGCACTCTATGGAACATTTAAAATACTGCTTCGGAACGACCGTATGCACACAACTGACCACAGCAAAGTAAATCGGATGTTTAATAAAATTGCGACTAGGCAGATTTTTCAATGTGTTTTAACTTGTTTTATTCCTCCGAGTCTAATTTTCAATAGCGAAATTAAATCTAAACGAATTGTCGGATGGCGGAATAGTCCTAACTTTAACCTCTCTACGGCAGCTGACGGTTGGCTCATCTGGTTGTTCCTGGCTCTTCTCCTCATCGTCTAACTGAATGTTAGCGAAGTTGAATCGGAAATCCTTGTTCTCTTCGTTGAGTATAGCCGCTTTCTTTACAAAGTGGTATTTGGCTTTCTTTTTCGGGGCGTCAAAGCGCACACTTTCCGGATTCAATGCCATGGTTTTCTCCTCCTCTGCCATTTTTGAACGATAGTCACCGAAAGTCGTGCGCATAATTTGGCGTTTCTTGATCAGTGGTTGATTGGCAGATTTGAGAACATTTATCAGTTTCATCGCATCTTCAACTGGTTAAGTGGAAAATAAGATTTTTAAAACCTTAAATTTGAACGGATACCAGCTATTTACCTTTCTTATTATTTTCCCGTACGTGAGGCGCATTTAAAGAATTTTCGAGTTGCTGGATGCACCAGTAAAGCTCCAGTTCAAACTGTCGATCGGAATCCGACGGGTTAGATTGCGAAGCTGTGTCGCTAGAACTGGAAGAAACATTCGCAGTCGCCCTAGCAGCCACGGTTGGTGGCGTTTTCGGAATTGTTTTCAGTTTTCCCGTGCTCTTGTGTAGTCTGGCCTTTGGTGGAGGCATTTTTTCGTTTAAGATGAATGTATGCTTGATTACAATATTATGAATGATTATTTACAAGAAAAGTTATAAATTTGAAAGTGAACTGTTCTCTGTTGTGCTGTTCGCTCGAAATAAACAAACGTGCTGATGCGGGGAAAGAAGGACGACTTAGAAAAGGACGACTTGAGAAAGGACGACTATTTGACGTTTGAAACAAGGTAACTAAATGCACGGTTGAAAAAGTCCCCACATTTAAGATTAAAATTTAATCTTAATCCAAAATTTAATAAACTCAGCGATGGGTTCTGTCGGCTGGGTCGCCAAGAGAAAAACAGTTGAACTCGCTTCACGGTTTTCGAAAGATTCCCTTTCTTTTAACTTGGCAACAGAGGACTTCTGCATCAACTTCAAATGACTTCTAGCGAGGAAAAAAAATAACGGCTGTAGTAAATCATTATATCAGTGATTTTGTGGAATTATCTTAAGGAAAAATAGTAGAATTTGTCATTACTGATCATTACAAAACGTATCGCATGACAAATGTAATGCTCACTGCGTGTATATGATCATTTCTTCGGCTATATTTAATATTTAATTGCAATACCTTTCGTGGACCTTTCATAGCCGGTTTGACAGTTCAATAGGTAGACTTGGCTTCACTCTTGGCGTGACTCATTATACACCGACTCTAGGTGAAACCATAAATTTACGTTGGTTCAGATTCACCCAACTAATGAGTTATAGCAGAAGAACTCAAATTAAGGTTGTTTTTCAGATGTTAATTGATTAGTACCTATTAATACGTTCGATACATACAACAGCTGAATAAAGTTATCGGCATTTATTCGGCATTTACAAAGTCACCCATAACCGAAAAAAAATATAATAAAACAACGAAATGATTTTACTGTTGAACTTCGAGTACAATAAATTTTATTGTTGAATTGTTTTACGGGAGAAAAAAAAATATAAATTTTTAACGATACAATGCTCAAACTTTTTTTTTTTTTTTTTTTTTTTTATTATAGTCACTTTAACACTCTTGGGTCATTCGTGGGTGGTCCGGGGGTGAGATTTGAACTCGTGACTTTGGCGTGAGAGGTATGGATGTTAACCACTACGCCGGGGTCGCCCCCCCCAATGCTCAAACAATTAAAATGAATGTGTACACAGCAAAAAAAGTTGTTGAATATTACATCGAAACTGCTGCAACCAGGTCAATCCATCGGTTGTGTAATATCACATTGTACGATGTACATCGATTTTGCGAACAAAATTACATCCATTGATGTAATATTGTATCTGCGTTTTGCTATTACATCATTATTTCATACATCAGCTTGAATTACGTTGATCGATATTACATTTTTTTTTGCTGTGTACTGTAAATTTCTCGTATACACAGAAAAAAAAGTTGTTGAATATTACATCCAAACTGCTGCAACCCAGGTCAATCCATCGGTTGTGTAATATTACGTTGTACGATGTACATCGATTTTGCGAACAAAATTACATCCATTGATGTAATATTGTATCCGCTTTTTGCTATTACATCATTATTTCATACATCAGCTTGAATTACATTGATCGATATTACATTTTTTTGCTGTGTACCATGATTTTCATTGTTGTGAGCCATAAATTAAGTTGTGATTTTATGGTAATCAACAAGAATGTTCAATGTTTTGAATTTGTTTTACGGGTACTGTCGAAATATTTTAATAAATATTAAAATAAATCAACCATACTGCATCAAATTGGGATGAGAAGTCCGAAAAAACTCAAATGTAAGTTAAAAGTACTCAATCGTCTTGGCCTCTCCGTACATTTGATGGTTTCGTACTTTAAACTTATTTTTGGATGAAAATCATAGCACCTCTCGGCACTGCAGTCACTTCTGTTATTATTTTGTTAGTGCATCATGTGAAAATTTGAATTCTCGATAGCGCAGCGTTGCCAGATATACCAATTTATCGGTATTTGTACCGATTTTCGAGCTTGATACCGATATACAGATAAGCTTCCTCAGAATTCCGATTTTAGATATTTTATACCGATATATACCGATCTTTTTTAACCATCAAAATGATTATTGTCTGTCTGTGCTCAAAATGTCAGAGAAAACTGTTGTGAGAGACTTTTATCTTTTTGAATATCCCTAATAAAAATAGCCCCGAAAAGAGAGCTTAACGACGTGTTCGGGGTATCATCTAAACCATTTGTGGGATAGTTCACCTATCCGGGATACTGTTAGTTTATGGTATTTGTTAATAAGAGATGTTTAGAGATGAACTTGCGTTCAGCTGAAAATCTCTATAATATTTTTTTTTTAATATTAGGGATGTTTTGCTCAAATGCTCAAAAAAAAAATCATTTTTAAAAATGTCTTATGCTTGATACTCTTTTAACTTCCTCGCCGTTTTTGGCTACCCAAAAATCGAGAAATAGGTGATGTCTCATCCCGGTAACATTTATAAAGGCCCATCCGAATGTTCATATTTCTTACTTTCTCAAGTTCCCTTGAAAGTTTCTTGCAACTTTACCCTGGAATTTTCTTCCACCTTCCATCTGAAGCTTCTTCTGGCTTCGCTCGAAAGGTTCTTCCGTCTTCTCGCGCCAGTTTTTCTACCGAATATTGTGCTACCTTCCCTTAGAAGATTCTACCGATTTGCATCGGAAATTTCTTTCGACATTTCGCAGAAAACTGTTCCTTTCGGATTTTTTCTCAACTTCTCCTAGAAGTTTCTTACGACGGTCCCAAAAAGTATCTGGCTTCCGCCAGAAGATGCTTCCGACTTTCTTCTGCAGTTTGTTCCCAACAACCTAAGGAAGTTCCTGCCGTCTTCTCCAGTAAGTTCCTTCAAACTTCTACCGGAAGTATCTATAGAATCCTCCATACGTTTCTTTGTGGTTTTTGTTTTTCAACTTGTATTGGATGTTTTTTTTCAGGCTTCTTCTAGCTTCCCCTCGAAATGGCTACTCCTAGAATTTTCTTTCGTTTTCCGAAACCTTTCTGACTTCCTCTGCATGTCACGATTTTTTCCGAAAGTTTATTGAAATTTTACCCAAAAGATTCTCCACATTTTCCTTGGAAGCTCCCCGAATGTTTTTCCGAGTTTTCTTAGAACTTTCTACAAACTTCTAGCGAAAGAGTTTCTTTTTCTGGAAGTATTTTCGACTTGCTGCAGAAGCTAATTAAAAAATTCCACCAAAACATCTTCCTACTTTCTTAAAGGTCGTTCTTAGTTCTTAGTTGTCATATTTTAAAAGCTTTGGTGCCGATAAGCTTGAAAACCATCTGGCAACACTCCCATAGCGGGACTTCGTTTACTCGACGCGTTTCAGTATTTTATTTAGTTATAATTAGTTTCTTTAGAATACATAGCCGAGTGCATAACCGAGTACATAGCAAAGTGAATTATGAAGAAAAATGAAAAAGATTCTTTAAAATCGGCTGGACGATGGAAGCTACGAGAAGATTTAACAGTTACCTCTATGATTTAACCTCAGATTGAACAAACCGAGAGTTGAAAAGCAAATAAGATCTTCGAAGCACACAGGATCATTTGATGGCAGTCCCTAAAATTCTTTGGTTGAAGGTTTGTTGGAACTGTTTTAAGTTAGGCTGTTGAATAAACTTTATTAACATCCACATTGGTAACATAACATAGAAGACATAGAGTAGACACATAGAGTTCTCTGTCACCGCTAGTATTAGCAACCGGTGGAAACTAACGATTTTATATTAGCTCACACTGGATCGGTTTGAAGCGAGGGGGCGACACATCTAAATCTCAATACTAGATGCTCAAAAAATTTCACACTGGCGAATCAATCTTCGAAAACTCTTTTTTCAATTCTCGCATCTACTTGCATCTACTTGCATCTACTTGCATCTTTTTGCAGGAAATCTTCAGAATCGTCATTAATCTTCTTTCTATCTATTCAGCGTGTACGCACCTAGCGTACACAATCTTTCCTGCAACGTAGATAGAGTCGTCCCCCTCGGTTTGAAGTACATTGATGAATGTACCATAGAGGTAACTCTAAGACCAGAAGGTACCGAAGAAACGTGCTCTACTTTTTGGCTCAGCTCTGGTACTCTCTGCGGCCCCAAGTTAATCGATGCATCCCTCGAAACATAGGAAAATCCACGAACCCATCATTTTATCTGTCAAACTTTCATAGCGAATCAAAAGAAACATAGTGTTGTATTATAATTTCGACTAGAATGGGGTACGTTAATCGATTTGCTTGGGACCAATTGGTTTTATATGGCTACACCTCTTTAGGCTACACTAGTTAGGTAAATTGTGCATAGTGGGGTGACCCGTTACAAAAATTGGTCGTAATTACATTTTGTTTCTCAGCTCCGCAAAGCTACAGCAAATGAGCCTGGAAAAATAAATTTTGTTTTGTTTAAAATCATAACCAATATTCTTATTAAGTAATTTGATGCTTCTGAATTCACATTATGCGTTCAAAATTTTGAGTTGAAAAATCTAATATTTTATAGTTGCTCTAAACTGTTTATCATAGGGCTTTTATTGCAAATAGTTGAGTGTTCCGGCTTTGCTCGGAATTTAATATTAGCTTGAGTTCATGCACCGCTTAAAAAATGAATCCGATGTTTATTGTTAGGCTTATTTTGCAAGTCAGTCATCGCGATGTCAGGAAAATTAATCTCCAATTAATCAATGCCAATCAATCAATCAATCAACCAATGGCCAATCAATTAATGCAGAAGGATTATGAAGTGCCATTTGTTTCACCTATCGTGCTGAAAAGCTCAGCTAGGTTTATTTGTCTTTTCATTCCTTATCATATAATCATTGTAAATGGAAGCTTGCCAAACAAAGCTGCGCTCCGCAATATCGAAGAAAGTAATGAACCATTATAACTCCACAATTAGTTTAAAGAAGAGAGGAATTTATGAGAATTAAAAACTATGGTTGCAGAAATTTCAGATTGCATTATCCCGGGCAGATGCTTAGTAATTTTAACTCTAATTTATTCCACCCGCTACCCAGAAAAAAAAATGATCATAACTGACTAAAACATATCTGGTACCTCTATATATGCAAATAGATTAACATCCGAAGTCCATCTTTT